TAAAATATATGTTCCTTGACGTAAATTAATTGTTATTAGGAAATGATTGATGATCTTTCAATTTATTTATCCATTATTATATTCATCTTTCATTTTTCAAAAAATAAAAGATCATTTTGAAAGGGAGAAGTAGGAAAGAAACAGTGCTAATCATTGTTATGTAGTTATTATTTCTTCAACTATAGAGTTCATGCATATTAAGTAAAATAATGTTTAAAGAATTAATCTCAAATTTATAGTAAAAAAGTAGAAAATCTTATATTTTATATAGGAAGGTAAATGATATGTAATGTAAAAGTAAAACATTTATAAGAATTACACATGTTTTCATTGAAGCTACTAGATCATACTAAGTGTCGAAGGCTTAGAGAATGATTTGTTGACTAACAAAAGGATAATTTATTTTCATATTTATGATTTAATCAGTGTAATCTTTTTACAGATTCTTTACATAAAAAGAATCTAAAAACTATTGTTTTTCTCGTTTAATAGATTGGTAACTCTAGAAAACTATATGCCTTTGCTTATGATCATATTTACTATTAAGATAAATTGATGACTTTCCGCCAACAAATACGCTCTTTATGTCAATAAAGTTTATATTTGTGTGAATTTTTGTTGATAAACACAACACACTGATGGCTAGCTAGTTATGCAAGTTTTCAGCTTATGGGCTTAACATTGATAAGGAGTGGAATAAGGCAAAGTGAACTTCATGAGAGGTAATACAAGGTCATCAAAAATTGGGATGACCTCTTGTGTGGCAATACAAGCTTGGTGTCATGATTTCTAATCCTAGAAATAAAGTGATGGTGGCTAAAGGTAGTTAGCTTGTTATAGATTTTTACTCAAGTTAGTGTTTTGATTTTCTTTGGTTATATACCTTGTGAAGATGAATTATTCTTTGTTTCTTTTTATGTAAATATTGTTTGAGCATACACTAATTCGAAGGTTGCCTAACCACATTGTAGCCAAATTTTTTTAAAAAAGTATATTATTATCAATTAATTAGTTCTATGATTAAACTATGGCTAAATAAGCTACACACATTATCCTGAAGATCCTTGAATTTTTATATTAACTTTTGAAGTAAAAACATTTTGAGAATTCCAAGAATGATCCAAATGTTAACTTATTAGAAATGAAAGACATGGGAAATACATGTAGCATCATCACAAGTGGATGCTTTAAATATTGTCATGAGATCAATATTCACTCCTACATATATAAATATATATATATATACACACACATACACATATATCACGTTTTATATATATTATAACATAATAAAAGGTCATACATAAACATTGGCATGTTTACTTTTTTGATACTCAAATGGAACCTTTGTAAACTTTGACATTATTTGCTTTTTGCTAGGGTTTATTTTTCACGTGATAAAATATGTAATTTTGATTTATGTTAATGAAATTGGAAGAAAGAACATTTGTATAGTAATATGAAAACTAGTCAACAACTGGAGTGATGAAAGATGTAATCATATGGAAAGGAAGTAGAAATGATAATAGTAAAGGTAGCAAAGTTTGAAGCAGTTATGAAGTAAAAGGCAACAATATGTGAAGATGATAGTAAAATGTCTTTGGTGAGCTACAACAAAGATTGTGGATGATGATGTTGGAGTGGTAATCATAGTAGTGATTGTAGAATTAATGGGTTATTAACAAAGATTATTACCCTATACACTGGTGGTGGACTTAAAAAATTCCACAAGCGAATTTAAGTAATTGCCATGTGTGTCCTTAACTGCACATGTTAACTTAATATTTGACTTTCTTATTTTTGGGAACAAACATATGGACTTTTAAAATCCACCGCTTGTTTATGGAAATCCTATTAACCATTAAAGCTATAAGTGGTAATGTGGTAAGGAAGAACAAATATCATGTTGAAAGGTAGTCAAATATTAAATGTGTTAAAGCTTGTAATGACCTACATAAATTGGTGGAAATGGAGATATTGTTAGTAGGAAACAATTATAGTCTTGGTAGTTAATTGAAATGGAACATATTAAGATTGTATGTGATTGTGGTGACTATAACAATAATGATTGCTAAGTCAAAAAGGTGCTTGATATTATGAGTAAGATTTTGAAAATAATTATAATATGATTATTATAGAAGATTGTGTAATTCTTTAGCATTTCTTGTTTTTTAAACATTTTAAAACATTATGACACCCATATTGAAGAAAATATTTTATTTGGTTGACTGCACTCAAAATATCATGTTAACTAATATACTTTCTAGAGTTTAGAGTAATTATTTTTGAAAAGGCTAGTTGAAAGGGTGCCTCCTTTTGTTTGTTTGCATTGGGACATATCATTTGAGGACTAGGGGAGCGGGTGAGTACATGGATTTGAACTCTACCAGAGAAAAGAGACATTGTTAGTGTTAAGTGGTGTTAATTTTGCTATGGTTGAGATTGAGATTCTATAACAGCCTAATACTCGTGTTAGGTTTCTCCAGTAATTTCCTATTGGCTTTAGGTTGAATACCTTTGCATGATATCATATCCCAAGTTGTTTGATGTTATTTATTGTCGGTTTTCCTCTTTGTAGGTGCAATTGTCTCATTATCTAAATCTAAGATATAAGAACAAAAATATCTACGATACAAGAACAAAAATTTAAGATACAGGGCTTTGCTAGAGATAGTTTTTAAACTAGATGGCAATTCACAAGCAACAAATTGTGTTAGTTATATACGTTATTCTATCAATAGCAGACAATCGAGTTGGCAGTATAGATGCGAATTTAGTAAAAGGGCAATAAGGAGGTTAGGTTGTAGGATATGCGAGTTTTGAAAGGTTTAAAAGGAGGGTGGAGTTTGTGTAAATATTAGAAATATTCATTATCATTGAAAAAAATAGAAAGAGACTTGAGCTTATAAAGATTGTTTTACTTTTTAACTTTTGGTTAATGTATTTTTCTGTTAACTTTTTTTCAAAAAATAATTTTTTATTAAAAATGAAAAAAGAATCAATAGTTAGTATGTAAAATTAAATTAGGTATGATTTTAAAAAATCATATTTAATCAACTCAAGTCAATAAAAAACTTATCATGTCACCGGTTTTCTCATAAACCCGATAGGCCAATGTGAGTTTCTCTAGTTCAACTGCTCAAAGGGTCCAATAAAGAACTGACCCAGATCAAGGGTCGGGTCACTGGGTTGGCCAATCTGACTGTTGTTGAACCAGTTCAGTTCTGGTAACCATGGTTTATTGTTGATAATAACTAACAAAATAGTTTTGTTGCTTGATCTGTTAAATTTATATAACATCCTTAAACATCATACAATGGGGCATTTCCTAGAACAAAAAAATCCTTTTGAATACTAAATCTAGTGACTTTTGTTACTTTTTGCCTTGAGTTGATATAGAGTTGTTATAATTGGGTGATGGTTTAAAACTTGATAGTGATTACCCCTTTGACTTTTGATTGTCATATGCTCTTTTATCAGACTTCTAAAAGGAAAATGGTGACGATCACTTCTGCATTGAGTGAGTGAAATCTAGTAGGCTTATGTTGAGTTGCGTATGGGGGTGCATTGGAACCCCATATAGAATAAAAACTATTCCTACAAGGGACTTATATGAAGTCTGGTCCTAACTTCTACATTTGGGTCTTTGCTTGGTGAACTTCTTAAGCCATTTCTGCTCAATAGGTGGTTTGGTTTTGTGGGAATGATCAATGGAAGGTTTGTCTTTGTTGGTTGGTCCTCTTCCATTGTCAAGTAGGTGATTCCCACATTGATTTCCATAGTTGAGTGGGGAAAATTGCTTCACTTTCAGATGCTTGATGCGGATGAGATTCTATCATTGGTGGACTTCTCATCCTGTTTTTGCCATAAAACTTAGGAATCAAAGCCTAGAATCTTTTGTTAATAACATGGCAGCAAGTTAAATTTTTTGGCTTAGCATTTACAAGTGTTACGAGAATGTGGTATATGGTGATTCTTGAGGAAACAACTAGGATTGACATTGTTCTTTTGTATCCAGTATATCGAAAAGAAAGGAGAGGAGAAAAAGGCATACCAAACCTACGGCAGTGGATGGTACCTACACTTGGTTGTTTAAGTGGCTTGCTCAAGAAAACCTGGGAAAAGAGGGGTGGATGTGGAACCCTAGTGTGTTAGATCAATTTTCCATAAGTAGAAGAGATTGACTGTCAGGGATGATTCAAGAGAAAGTTGGTACTATGGGAGACCTCTTAACTAGTAACACTCTGTCACAAATTTCTGTCTGAAACAAGGCTAATATCACTTCCACTCTTCTAGTTTTCTTTCTTTGTGTGGGCAGTTGTAATCTGTTAAATATAGGTTTGGAGAGTTGTTTTTGAAGTATAAATAACTTGACATGCAGCTTAGACAAATTATGGTGATGATTGTCTGGTTTAAGCTGGTGGAACCTTATTGGTGCCTACATCCATCAGACCTATCGAATGTTGCAGATTGGGAGACTTATATGCATCTTAATAGATTTCTTCCCTGAATGGAGTGAATCAGGACCCCGATTGAAGGAACTTTCTAAAGCTGTGATGCGAGCAACTATGTTTCTGGTTCACTATTTTTGGTCTTTTGGTTTTTCTTTAATTGTTGACTCATCTCTTGTGAGCTCATTTGTATTCAATAATTTATACCTAAAACTTATTTCATTGTGTTCCAAATACTACATTACTCTGCTTTAGACCCGAGTTTGTTTTGCTTAATCAGCCCTTTTTCTGTCAAACATCAATGTGTGAATATTCCCCTGCGAACATACACATAAATGTTAAAAGCTGTTAACATGGTTGCCTCGTAGAGCTCCTGTAGTTGAAATCTTTTGTAGCATTGTCTTCCAAGGCATCATATAAGATAGCATATCCTTACATAAAATGTTCATGGCTTGGACAACTTTTCCATTGACAATGTTTCATGCAAATACTAACTAGCTTTGATCTACTTATGGTTATAATGACTAATGCAATCAGCTCTTTTGCCAGTTTGACCAAGATTCTTGAACGTTATCGATGTCACTATGAACAGGAATCTGAAGCTTCAAAAGATGTTAATGAATCCGTAAGTGATCCTTATCCATTATACAGTGAGCTTAATGCTGTCAACCGCATATTGAGAAATATCCTTTTTTAAATGAGGTCATCTAAATGATTTAAAAATTAATCAACTAAATAGCTCATACTCCACTTCTGCAATTAAGGTTCTGGGTTGACTTGTTGCTGGCGGTTCTCTACCAGAACACCACTAAAATGCTAAAACCTTTAATAGGAGACCCATGTTTTTCAAGAGCTCTTGGCTTCAAAGCTGATTTAAAGATGTTCCATTGGATATAGATCCCTTGTGAATCTACAAAGTATCTGAACTGTGTGATCAATTTTGGCCCTACTACTGTTCAAAATTGCTGTCACATAAGCTTGAATGAGAATGTGAGGCTGTGCAAATAACTCTAATTGTCAGCTTGTCAGCATGCTCTCAAAGGACCTTATGCTAAATTATAATTTCATCAGCCATCCATAGGACCTTATGCTGGTAATTATAGGATCATAGATACTGACATCCTTCACTTAATAGTGATTAGCAATCAACCAGAGCTTGCTTACTGTAATTTTTACTAATATGCTTTTTCTTGCTCATTGACAATGTGAGCTTCATGCAGGTTTATATTCTTTTTAATAAACCTAGACATCTGGTAATATTTTTGGTTCAAAAGATATTCTAAACAAGTACGTACATTTACAGCCAGGGTTTCTGTTGAGTGAATTTGTTCTCTAACTACATTGATGCTGCTTGTACTTTGCATCCCATTCTCTTTATGAGTAGGCACGTTTTCCATATGCTTTTCACATGATCCTGCTAATCTCTGATAATGTAATGATTTAACGGCTATTGGTCCTCCAGTTAATTATTAAACTGAAGTATGGACTTAAAAGATCAGTTAGTCAAGCTAATGAGGAGTTTTGTCTTATTATATTGCAATGAGCTTCTAGGGACAGTCTACTGTGGTATTTCTCATCAATATTTGCTAAGTAGCCCAAATTTTTTTCTACAGCTCCGTTCACATACAGAGCTACTGCATATAGTCCAAAGGTGACTTTCTTAATCCTTATTGGTATACTGAAAGGTATCGTATGAGTTGTTGTTTGACATATCAGTTTGTTTTGCAGCCAACTGGAAGAACCAAATGTTGTGAAGCAGAGTGTGATGGACCTTGAAAAATTGGAGAAACAACTTGATATGGCACTTTCCGAAACAAGATCTAGAAAGGTTAGTATCCCGTATTGAAGAAAATCTGGCACATCCGGGTAAAAATATTGTGTAAGCTACTTGTTTTGTCCTAAGAAATCAGATCTTATGTTTTTAAGCTACAATTTGGAAATCTTTTGCAAGACCTCAGCTAAGCACTCACCTCTTATCTTAGAGAAGTGTACATGTTCCTGGTACTCTCTTCAGTTGTTAGCTTTCATTCAAGCTTGTACAATACAATTGGAGTGTGGAGGAGATTAACTGTCTATTTGATTCTTCCATGTTATTGAACTACCCTCTGGGATAAGGTAATGCTCCATTGTTAATGTTCAGAGCTCATCTACCAGCAAATCTTCTTGGTATTTCGGTTATTTTTTTTCCTTTTTTTTTTAAAATGGTTTAGCAGCCCCTATAAGTGAATTTTTGCTGCTGGTACTGCCATTGTCTCTGAAGTTAAAAAACATTTTTTATAAAAACAATTTTTTGTAAGTTAAAATCCATAAATATTGACAGATGTTCAACCACCTTTACTAGGTTGATACAATGAAAGTATTTCACATAGAACTCTTTCGCTGACCACTTACTAGGATCCTTTTTCACTATTATAACCTACCAGACAACTAAGATTCTAGAATTGAGCAAGTTGGCATGTCAAGAGAATCTAAAAGATGATTGTCAGCCAAAGAAACCACTTAATCACCCTAAGTATTTATGTTTTCTTTTACGGGATAGGCTTTCTTCTGCATAAGATAGGGTATGGAAAAATCTGAATAGTGTTTGCTTAAGACCTACATCATCATTGACTTTGATGCATTTGAAAATTATTCCTCTAAAGAACTTTAAGTAGCTTTCTCTAGTAATATCTGTGTTACGCATAGCAAAGGTGAAATCTTTTGTTTGCTCCTGATTTTACTGGACAAGAATGCTGCTATGTGATACTGGGACTGTCATGCCTGTCTTGTTTGTTGAGATTCTCATCTGATCAAATTTTTCTGCAGACACAATTGATGATGGAGTCCGTAATGACCCTCCAGGAAAAGGTACGCAACCATTGTGGTTATAGTCAGAATTTTGCCGTGAACCTCTTAGCTTTACCAGAATTTTGAAGAACATCATGTTGACTTCTATTATTTAATAATGTTGTCAAAAGTATGGGATATTTTAACTGTACTTATATAGCTGTTAGCAATCAGCATTCTAGAAAATTTTCTGCCTATCTATGAAACATGATTGGACCATTTCTAGATCACCCTTCTAAGGATTTCATTTAGGTTGGCTCGCTATCTTTTATTTATCCATTTAACTTAAATCATGAATTGGATTCTTACAGCTCTGAAAACAGTCCTAAAACTATGAACAGTATCTCTCTTGCCCCTCTATGGACCATGTGCCTTGTGCTTGATCATATTTGAACGCACAGCAGAATTGTTTTGTTTGCAACAAGTCTCTTTCCTTATTCTCGATTTCATAGAAACTTTCCTGTTTAACTTTGCTTGTATGCCCTTCAGGTTAACATTTTCAAGATCCTGAAAAAGGACTTTAAGATTTTCTTTAAAAGGAAGGAGGGGGGCTGGGGTGCAGACAGTGGCAAAGCCGGAGGGGGGCTAGCCCCCCTTGGCTTTTGAAATACCTGGTTAATGCCTTGTTTGCTCAAGTGAAATGGGCATATTTTGAATTTGGGACCCCACAAAAATTTGTATCATGCTCCTCCCCCCTCCCCTCATCTTTAAGATCTTGTTAATGATATGATAAATTTTATAATTTGATAACAATTGTAGTTCTAAATTTAATTTCTTTTAACTTTTTTTTTTGTAAGTATCATTATACTGGAAATTTAATTGCTTAAATTACAACTTCCCTTTTAAATGAATTAAATAATATTTTGACATTAATTATTGTATCAATAGTAACTAAAGAAAATACATTAGTTAAGAAATTTTAGTTGCTATATTTTGCATACAAAATCAATTATGCTATGCACAAAACTTTTTTCTTTTCCTTTTTTTTTTATCTATCACCCCCCCTTTTAGTTTTTTATAAGGATTGAAACTTTATTTAACATTTATTTTAGTTACCAAAAAGGTATTTATATGATTTACGCAACAAATTACTACTTATTTCATTTGAATTTGGTATGTTTTTTATCATTTTTTTTTATTGAAGAGACTCTCTTTACTATTGTTTTCTCTTATTTGAATTATAATTAAACAAATTATTCTTATCCCACCCCCAAGTCAAAATTGCTGCTTCGCACCTGGTGCAGAGTGTCAATATAGGTTTGATCTATAGGACTTAGATTAGATGTGATAGATAGTGACCTGCTACATCATATGCTGCTGTCCAAATTCTTAGCTACCTCATAATCTTCCAGCAGACGATTTGTTCTTGCATATTCTAAGACTTTCCAAAGAATTTGTACCAAGTCTGTTGCCAATAGATGTCCATATCAAACATAATACACTGTACAGCATCATATCACATAATCTGTATCATATAGATAATCTGATTTGTAGTTCAACAATTTCATGCTGTCTACTTATGCAACCCAGAAGTTCTATAACAGGATGAATCCGAACTATCTTTGGTTAAACAGTTACACACCTACAGTCATATCCCCTTTGGATTAATTTTCTGGTTACTTGTTGCAAGACTAGTCTCTATACCAATCTGAGATTCTGAATGTCAAAAGCCACTACTGATTTTTGGTGCTCAACCAAAAGAATCATTTGACTATAAGTTTCCCCTGCTACTCCTAGTTCTCTTGAAATATCTACTGAGTTGCTACTGTAATTGCTCTGCAGGGGGAGTTTTACATGGTTAAAAGTAGTTGCTCTGCCTAATAGGATAACACACAACCTTCTTCATTATAACATATTGAAGCCACTAGGGATGGTCAACACAGAATTATTGATACAGCTGATGACATAAGTCTTTGCAGACAAGCAATTTGATGGAAATTGTAGAGGAACAGAGCTGAACTAAAGTAAGGCAAGGAGGAAGGTGAAGAAATAAAAAAAAATTAAAAAAGAGAAGAAAATAGTCAATAAACTAGAGGAAATACAAGATGCCATAGTGAGACAGAGCATAGTACGATTACGTTACCTTTGATACTTTTAACAGTACCATTATATTTGTTTGTGCAGGTCTGTTAGCAGCATGGAGTAACACCATTTTCATTGTATTCGGTTTGTTCTAATCCGTGACAATTCCTCTTCACGCAGGAAAAGTTGCTGAGAGCAGAAAATGAACTTTTAGAAAGAGAGGTAGAAGATTTCCAGAGCTAATCTCTATTCTTGCTCAACTTAATTTTCATTAAAGCAGACGAACAAATATTTAGAAAAAAAAAAAAACTGAACAAGTTTTGGGATGGTTTTCCTGAGACTTACAGATTGCAGCAATGGAGAAGAATGAAGATGAGGGGAATGAAGTGGTGATAGGGTTCAGCAATCACCAACATTTGGGTAATCTGCGCCAGCAGCCAACGCTTAGCTTGCTTCAATAGCAATAATATTGTGTTAATTGGCTATGGACCTGGCTCTAAGGTGCAATGGAGCTACTGCCACCGCGCCTGTCAACTTTTAAGCACCAAGTAACCAACCGAAAGCACGCAGAGATTATAATGTCACCGTAATAAGCTTGTGGTCAAGTAACCTTGGATCCAACTCCAACCCGCTTGTAATAAGTATCCGAGAACCTCTCAAATACGGTTCTTTTTTTTTTTTTTTTGGCATGGATTTTGCTTTCATATCTGTCACTTGTGCAGCTAAACCTATATGTTATCAGGGTGAGTACATTAGTTTTCATGTTCCCACGCAATCTCATCTGTGTCTGTCTCTCCCGTCTGATGCTGTAATTTGATTCATATTTATTACTAATATTGTTGTAAAAACATAGGTGGAAGCTAGCGGTGCACATATCTTAGTACCAGATCATTCCATTTATATCCTTGTTTGCGTGCCCACACACTGGACAATGGAACACGATGTGTACTGGATTGTTCTAAACAGAATTCTAGTAGATGGTAATAGAATTAGAATCTTGCCCCTTGACTTGTCCTTCCTTTAGTAACAAGCCAGGTTAATTTCGAACCACGTGGGATTGAGGAAAGCACCGTCTTGACGAGCTGAGGAAACTCCTTTAAAAAAAAGGAAAATGCTGGTTTTGCATGGACGAGGAAATTCTGATACTGGTAGGACTCCTCTGAAAAAAAGATGGATGTTGGGATATCCTTGGATGCAGCGCTTAGAGTTATGGCGAGAAAGGGCGATAAAGATGCGCATGACTTGGCGCTTTTATGAAAGGTATGGTAACACTGACGCTACCAACCGGCAACTGCTCAGGTTCAAATGTGTTATCCAATGGAAACATAACAGCACACTAGGCAGTATTATCTGGAAAAGCTGGGAAGTCTTGTCACCGTCACTGTAGCTCTATTGCTTTCGATCCAACCCTCTCTTGTTCTTCTTTTAAAGCTGGTTAAACCGAATTCACCTTCATGTTAGCACAATTTAACAAAACTTACCGCTGCCCTTTCCTTTTGAGGTAAACCAAAATCTTTTGTCACTTTTGGGGTTCCTGCCAGAGGGCCTTCCAACCATTGAAACAAGTTTGGTATGAGGGATGTAAACCACATTTCTTATAATGTGGCTTATTAAATTACATTGCAGTGTTTGTTTTGTAACAGATCATTGCAATGTAAGATTGTAATGCAATCACATTGCAGCCAATAGATGTAATGTGATTGCAGTCCAGAACCAATGCAATCACATTACATTACACTCTGCAATGTTCTTAAAGATAATTTTACCCTTCAATTTTATTATTTTATTAAAAATATTTTATAATATTATAATTGAAATAAATATATAATATAAGAATAAATATTAAAATAAAATAAAATATAAAATATTATAATAATAAATAAAAATAAAATATATGATATTAAAAATATATTTAAGAAATGATATTATATAAAAATTAATAATAAAAAATATAAATATATTAAACTTATATTTTAATAATTAAGGGTAATTTTGCCAATTAGCATTACATTCCCACTAAAGTACTTGTAAACCAAACACTGCAATGTTATCTTCCCTGCATTTTAATCATTATTTTACTTACATACCAAACATTTTAATGTTATTTTTCCTGTAATCAGATTGCTTGCAATCACATTACTTACAATCACATTACCTGTAATCACATTGCATTGTAATGTACCAAACGCCACCTAACTGCTTTCCTCTTGCTCGGCCTCTTTTCCTCAAAATTCGTGACTCCACAGCCCCAGTCATCAGGAAAACTATTTATTTCGCATTTGAGGATAGTTGTTTAACATTTCTCCTATTTCCAATACATTTTAGACAAATGGGAAGAGTATTTTGCCAACACATTTCTGGTTGTGGAACTCAATATGCAATAAGTCTCTATATGTATAAAACGTACACTTTATCTAAGTTGAACATGTGGTCTTTGCCAACATTTTTTATTTAATCCTTACTCTATACCATAAAGTAAAATTAAAGTCATATTTGATTTAAAATGATAGACTCCCTGATCAATAACAATAATTCTATATAAAAAGAATCCAATTACTGCTATTATCTTAACATATATATGCTTAAGTAAGCTTTTTGTATTTTCATAGTTTATTTAGGTTTTATTTTATTGATTTTTTTTAATTTTTAATTTTTTGTTTTCTATTTATTTTTAAAAATTAAAAAAAAACCCATCAAACAAAATTCTATGATTTAAATGATAATAAAAGTAATCAAAGAAAAAAAAAAGCCTTGCTTAATTCGCAAGTGAGGCATGTTACGTTATCTTATACGTTGGAACTTAAGTTAACATCATGCCGCTTTAAACTCTAAAAATAAAATTTAAGTAAATTAATAAATCATAAATTTAAATTTTTAATCTCAAAGACATATCTGATAGATAATAAAAGGTCTATGTTTATATACGTAAGACTTACTCAATTGTCTTGTATTAATGTGGCACCTAACTATGTAATGCTTTTTTGCACTAACTTTGTAGTTGTAGAAGAGAGGGGCTCTTATACTATTCCAAGTTTACCTAGAGCTTTGTATCTCGTATGGAAACTCTACATCAATGAAAATTCGATTATACTCTAATACCAAATATCATGGGTTAGAATTTAAGTCTAAATTTATGAGACCTTAAACTTTGATATCATAAAACCACATTCTCATTTTAAAAAAATATACTTAATAAATAATAAAAAATTTATATTTATATATCAAAAAATCACATATTTCTTAGAATTCGTAACACATTGTGTGTACAAGATGTATGTCTTTTGCTCTACACTTGTCCATGTGCGGGCCCAACTATAGCTGGAACTTGGATAAATTTTTTTAGACCAAGTCTGATTCCAACTGATCCAGATATTATTATAATAATAAAATTTATTTTTTATTCAATTTAAATAATTAGAATATATTTTAAAATATTTCATAATAAATAAAATTTAAGTAAACATTTGGAATGGTAACTTAAATTTTGGAGGGGCGATTCATAAACAAAGGCATCTGGTTTTGGGACTTTGACCAGAAAAAGAAAAGGCCCGGCCCTATTATGGCATGGCCCATATGCTTTTGAGTTCTATTTTTCATTTTTAATTAATAATTATTTGAAAGCTGTGGCTCTGCATTGACGACGTGTCTAATTATCAACCCATAAGTTATTATTATACACTATAAAATAATGTTACTGCCTAATTATTAAAGAGAAAAGGACCGTGATAATATAATGCATCGCAGCATTATATTAAATGACAAAATCACGTTGAAGATCCCAATGACTAAAATTAATTTTTAACTTTATTTTTTTTATTTGTGAAACTTTTATTAAAAAATAATAATTTTTAAAATTAAGTTAAAAATATTAGATAAATTAATTTTTATAAGGTTTTTTTTAGATAAGTTGTTTAGTAAAATAACTTATATAAGTTTTAATTTTTATCAAAATTATTAGATATTTAATAACTAAGGATTTTTTTATTTTGGTTAAAATTACTAGATATTTAATAAATGAGTACAGTTTTGAGGTGATAATATTAAAATTATTTTTAATAGATAAAGATATTTTTAAATAAAAAAATTTAAAAAAACTAATTTGTTTTTAAAAAGAAGAGAAGAATATTACTTTTTAGTTTTTCAAAAGTTTCTTGTTTAGCCTAATTTCTATTTTTAAAAAATAAATAAACTAAAAAAACTAGATCAAACAAACATTAAGATAGGGTTTGGTAATCTAATCTATTATTTTTGAGTAAAATCAAAAATATTGATTTTGTTATTTAAAAAAAACACGTTTGATAATATTCCTATTACCAAAGATTTTTAAAAATAAAAACATGAAAACATTAAAAAAAATTTTAATTTCATTTTTATCTTAAATGCGTAGATTTAACAGGAAAACACGAATATAACCATCATAACTCATAGAGAAAATAACATAAAAAAAGAAAAAAACATTGTTTTATCTCGAATCTAAAGTCTCTCTAAACAATAAATCAAATCTTGAAAGATAAAATTAAAAAAAAAAGAGAGTAAAAGGAAAAAAAAGAAATCACCTAAAATGGATCAAATCTAAAGAAACTCACCTAAGATAGAAAAGCAAACGAATTAGACAGAAAAATAAAAAAAGATTTAAGGTGTGGTGGTTGGAGGAGGGAGAAATTTAAAAAAATGAAAAAGATAAATTGTTTGGTGTTGGTTTAGTTGAGAATGAGATAATTTAACATGTGTTTTTTTTTTTTTGAAAATAGAAACAAAAAATATAAAACACGTTTTTTAAGTTTGTGTTTTTTTCATCAATTTAAAAAATATAAAAACAAAATTACCAAACATATTTTTTATTAATATTTTTACAATTCTACAAATGAAAACAAAAATAAACACTTACATCACCAAACAAGGACTTTATCATCGCCCACTACTGATAAAAAAAAAGTCAAGGTTTTAATTTTTTTTTAGTAGTGAATGATTTCACGAGACTTAAAAGATTGGCATGACTATGATACATGTAAGACGTCATCCCTGACAATTCAATTCCAGCGGGGAATACCGTTATCTTTTCTTCTACGTTTAAATCGTACCATGCAATCAAATTATTACTCCATTTCTCCCTTCCCAACAGCTGTGTACATTATTATCAAAATTATTCTATGTAAATAGGCAAAGCAAGCCACTAGAAAAAATAAATAAAGAAAAAAGATGGATTGAATTTTAGTTTTACCCTTTTATTTTTTGTGTAATTTAGTTAATAATTATGGAACGCCTAATTTGAATCCAAGTAATGCCTGCCCAAAATTAGTTTATTTTATGATGATATCACACAATCTTAGCCAAAAACACATACAAAGATGTAGCAATCTACAGTAGTTCACGGCGTCCACGCGCTTAAACAATTTACCTAACCACCGCAAAGTTCAAAGGATAAGGTCCACGCTATCTGTCCCCACGTTAGACTTCCACGTCCGCTCTAATCCATTGAGCGTTTTCAAGACACGCGCTCAAAATTACGGTTGGACCTATCCTCGTCTGGAAAAGTCTCTGTTCTTTTTTTTATTATTATTCCCAAATTTTCTAAAAAAAGAAAAAGAAAAAGAAAAAAGTAGCGTGCGTGCGTGACCATTAACAATGCCATTCTAATTTTCTTTCAATCCAATCTTCAAACCCTTTCCATTTTGGGTTTCCGAAAAATCCAATTAATCGGAAAAACAGCACCGCCGCGTCACTTTGTTTTTGGTTTCCCTCCAGAATTTCCTGAGAAACAAACAAAGCTTTGCCCGTCAGAACTCCCCAGTTGTTACTTCCTCTCCAATCAAACAGCGGTTTAGATAACTGTCCCCGAGTTTATCCAATTACCTCGTTTCTAGCAAAAAAAAAAAAACCATAATATCCTATTACCATCTGAAATCTTTGTCATTTTCTTCGGATTAGAGGGTTTAGTCAATTTTCTATCTTTGATTTTCCATCGGATTTTTTTCTTGAGGAAAAAAAAATGAGAAGACAACAGCCAAATCATCGACATCAGGATCAACAATCAAGGGTTTTCTACGAGCTGTCGGCGCTGGTTCTGAGTCTTCTACGATCGCCGCCGACGCCGATGCCTTTCTCCGACCAATCGCCGGCACCGGCGAGGAGGCCTCATCCACCGTCGACATCGACGACGACGATATCGCCGGCGGGATTCGCTTGGCTGATGCTAGGGATATCGGTTTCGTTGATGCTGTGTGGATCGCTTACTTTCTTTATAGGGTTCATGTTAATGCCTTGGGTTCTTTGTTTGGTCATGGTTTTTTACGTTGCTGGTATTGTTTCCACGGTTTCCATGTTAGGTCGTTCTATTCTTTGTTACGCCATGGCTCCTCCTTCGCCGCGAAAGGATATTCCTGGTAATTTGTTTTTTTTTTTTAAATTAATTTTCTCAAATACTA